GTGAGCCGAGATCGCGCCATTGCACTCCAGCCTGGGTACAGGCAATTCTCCTGCCTCAACCTCCTCAGTAGCTGGGATTACAGGCACGCGCCACCATGCCCAGCTAATGTTTTGTATTTTTAGTAGAGACGGGGTTTCACCATGTTGACCAGGATGGTCTCGATCTCTTGACCTCGTGATCCACCCGCCTCGGCCTCCCAAAGTGCTGGGATTACAGGCTTGAGCCACCGCGCCCGGCCTATATGATTTACATTTTAAGCGTTCTTCTCATCCCATTAGCCCACTAAATACAAACTTGGACGTTGAATATTTTTTTAGCAGTATTCGTCATTAAGTATGAGCAAAGCTATTCCCATACTAATTTTTTTGATTGTCATCAAAATGGAAATACACAAATAATTCTCATAGTGAATTCATGAACAGAAGGAACTGATATAATTCAGTGCCCTATTTTGAGGTGAGATTTTTATGAATTGAGAAAGGGTGATCTATATAGGTCCAGCTGGTACCCTTTGGGGCAGTACAAGTTTCTGTTATGTGCCTACAGTTTTAATTTGGCATATTTATGTAGCATGAGATAGAAATAACTAAGTGGAGAAAAGAGTTACTTCTCTGTTTGCTGCTTCTGTGAGCATTTACTTAAACTTAAATCAGTTGTGTGATTTAAAAGTTTGTATTCATTTCTTTTTCTCTTTTTTTTCCTCCTAAAGTTGTTCTGAAAATTATTTAATTCAATTCAGTTTAGTTCAGTTCACTTCAACTCAAACCTGAAGGCCCGTATTGGGCTAGATTGGTGGCTCTCCTCGGAAGAAAGGGAGGGATTTTGTCCCCCAGCGGACATTTGGCAATATGTAGACATTTTTGACTATCATGACTGTGCGGATGTGTGTTACAGGGTCCTGAAGACCACTTCCAGTTACTATGATTTGCCAGGAGGGCTCCATGACTCAGCATATAATTGCTCTAATGTCTGTGACTTATTGCAGAAGGACGCAAAGCACAGTCAGGAGAGGTAGAAGGCACATGGGGTGAATCTGGGGAAACCAGTCACAAGCTTCCAAGTGCTTTCTTCCAGTGGAGTGCACTGGATGTGCTCAGTCCCCTTAGCAGCAAGCTGTGACGACACTTGTGAAATGCTGTCAACCAAGGGAGCTCGTCAGAGACTTAGCACCCAGGGCCTTTCTTAGGAGCTGACTGCATAGGCTCTCTCTGCCTGGCACGTGCCAGACTTCCATGCTTTCCCGGAAGGAAAGCATATGTTCAGCATAAACCATGTTTGTCTGTGCAAACAGTTTGGACACAGTGAGCCACTCTTATCAGTTCCAGGGCTGATGGGAACCCTCTCAAAATCTAAGTTCCAGATGACACCAAAAGACCAAACTTGTAAGCAAGTCTTTCAAAGGACAGCACTCAGGCCTGCTATGTTAATTCTTTTCCGCATAAGGCAGAACAGCCCCCAAGAATTACTGAGTGCAAATGTCAGCAGCGCTGGGGTTGAGAAACCCTGGGTGAGGCAGAGTGTGACATGTGAGGACTGGTCTGTTAGGACTGCTCAGCTGCCTGAGGGCCTCGGTCTTACGTGTACTTTTCTTGAGACCACTTGAACCAAACTCTCTCTTTATTATTTAATCTCACTCATATAAACTAGCTCTCTTACATTGGTTTAGGACGCTTACTTCCCTTCAGATTTACTTCCGTGAAGAAAACTGAAAATAAAAGCTTTACTGAAAATAAAACAAAGGAGAAAACCCCTTCAAACAGTAAAAATCATTTTCAAATAACTAGTTTCAGAGATTTAGAAATACCAACATGATTAGTTTCAGAGATCTTATATTGGTGGTATTTTCCTAGTAATTTAGAGTCTCTAATTTTTACGTATAACTCAGCTGGAATATCTTTAGATCCTTTGAAAACGTGTCAGTTTCTAAAGTTCTGTGGTTCAATTACTCGATAGGAGTGTCCAGTTTATCTTCAGGGAAGCACTGAAAGGTAAGGCTGCATTGAGCATGAACCTTCCTCTGCTGGCTGATGGATGGATTTCTACAACTTGGCTTGGGTGTCCATTTCGGTGCCAGCTTGCAGTCTGGCCATCACTTGTGGTGTTAGCTTTTATAAAGAACATCTCCTACCGCCACCCCTCTCCACTCCTGAAAACGAAGACAAAAAAAATAAAAAAAGTAAAGACAGGTTCAGACTCATCACCCTTCCAGGGACTTGGGAGAAAGCAGGATGGGCCACCTCATGGCAGCATTTTGGATTTGTTGATCCCTGTGAGAGTTGCTGTTTAAGGGAATTCCCACATCTCTTGTGGGCTATACAGAATAGTGAGAGCTTTGCTTTTATTTTTGTTTTAAATCTCTGTCAGTATTTGTTCAATGGGAAGCGGATGATTGTTGCTATTGATAGCTGCTTCTCACAGCTGTGTTGGCCTCAGCTGGAATTCTTGTCATTTTCCTTCTGAAAGGAACTAACTTGGGAGTTTACAACTGTTACTATTGAGGGAGACTGAAAGTTCTCAGCATGGTTTTGCTTAAACTTAGATATCAGCGCTGCTGGGAGGAGACATGAAAGCCATAGCTAGTAATTTTAGTCTTTAAAAGAAAAACAAATCCACCTTAAAATTTAGTTTGCTTAAAACTAAAATGGGCATACTCCAACCATCTGCTAGGTCAGGAACAGCCAGCATGCAAGCAGGGGACACATTTTTAGACTTGTTCACATCTGCACATTTATATTGAAAATGGAGTAGCAGTAGATTGGGGATCCAGTGATCCTGGTAACTGAATGTCTAAATCAGAACTTTATTTCTTATCAGTGTAATCTAACCCAGAGCCTTTCTTACTTAAGAGTCTCTTTGAGCACCACACGTCAACATCTGTATTTATTTCTATATCTGTGCAGATAGATGTCTATCTATTTATGCATATTGAAAACCATGCATTCATCTAAGTATCTCCAGTTCCTTCCAGCACTGCAGGGGCATTCTGGTTCTCTCTTTCCATATTTGTAACTCCCTTCTCCAACTCCTAGAAATCTGGCTCCCATTATCCTCAATATCTTTACTTATTTAATCAACCATCTTATACTAATCAAACTTCTGTTGCCCCCTTTCCCCCATATTGCACAGAGGCCTTCCCCACCCCTCCTCATCCCTGCTCAGACTCTGACTCCCCACATTGTGATGCCACTGCTGTTGCCCTGCACCCTCCCAGCACAGATGCCCTCCTCATACTTCTTGGGTTCTAGCGCTGAGGTGATGCTACCATTACCATCATTCTACCCACAACATGTGTACCCTTCTCTGCTTGCCCAGGCTCTAACACTCTCCTCTGGGCTGCCCAGATGACCTCCTAACCTCACTTGGTCTCCATCATCCCCATTACCCTTCCCCCAGCACAGAAGCCTTCCTTTCCTTTCTGGGGCTCTGATACCCTGCGCCAGGCTACCTTACTATTCTTCTCTTAAGCAGAAGCTCCCACCCCACCAGGGCTTGAACATTCCACATGTGCCGTCTCCTTCCCACCCCACCGTGCAGAAATACCCTCTGGGACTCCAATACTCTGTGTACTTCTGCCTGGACATCCTCTTCACCCTTCTTGGATGCCCACCTGTTTATTCTTTTAATGGAGAGGGTAGAACACTAGTTTTGTGCTATCAGCTCTACTTAAAGAGAAAGGCTCCAGAAACATCCATGAGATCCATCAGAAAACCAAGGCCTTATAGTTTAGAAAGACCTTTAGAAACCATTTAGCTCTTAACTCGAAGCATGACTTTTCACTGTAACTTTTTAATGAAAAGGTTTCTGATTTATATTGAAAAATCCCCACCTCACAAAAGTCCATTTCATTTCAAATAGTTTTAATTATTAAGGAAGTTTCCCTGCTTGCCTTGTGGGTTTCACTGTAAATTATCCTCTTGTTTAAACAGGTAAGTTTGATTGCAGAAATATTTTGAGCAGAGATGGTGTTTACTTTGAGATGAGCTGTGGGTACTCCCTGTATCTGATCTCGCCATCACGAAGTCATCCTCAGAAAATTAATACTTTTACAAAGGAAAAATTATTGAGGCTCAGGTCTGAGCGTAGAGCTCAAAAGCCTGTTTCAGTGTCTAGAAAGAATATTGTTGGCTGTAAATGTTCAACATATTGCTCAATAAATTGTGATTTAGGAGGAAATTGGCCAGGAAAAAGGAAGGAGTCTATACAGCTGATCCAAACCATCTCCCTGCTGGGTTGCTGCTGTATATCCTTATCTCTACTGACGCTCACCCTGGCCTCTGGCTCTCACCTACTTCGTGGAGCAGCTCCATTAAGTAGAACCTTCCACAGTAAGGACATGGTCTAAATTTGTGCTGTCAGGCAGCCCCCAGCCACATGCTGCTATTGAGCACTGGAAATGGGCCTAGTGTGACTGATGAACTAAACTTTTTATTTTATTTACTTTTAATTAGTTTAATTTAAATGGCCTCAGGTGGCTAATTGCTATTGGACAGTGAGGTTTAGGGAGTCTGCTGGTTCCTTTTTTTCTTAATTGTGATATGGGAAATGCCTTTTGCTCTTAGTTTGGCTGAATAAAGAATCCATCCTGAGGTAAAGGCAGTCTGGCTGTGGGATAGGTTGCTCTTTTCTCTGGGGTTTATTTGGCTAGTCTAGCTGACTAGGCAGGTGTTCACCTTCACTCATTGCTTTATGATTTAAACCTGAAGCTTAATCCTCTGTAAAAGATGACCTTCTCAGTTAGAGAATAATTACTGAATGAGATGCTCCCCAGCTAGAACTTCCAAACAAGTCTGAGAAACTAAGGAAAAGTAACAATTACCATTCCTTTCTCTTCAAATCCAAAAAGAAAAATAAAAGATAGATGGGTTCACAAAGTCTAGGTTGCATGGTGGTGTTGCCTGTGAGAGACACAGCCCTAGTGTTTTCCCTGGCCTGTACCAGTGTGAGCTGGATTTCAGTGCGTGCTGCTTCTAGGGCTGCTGAGTGTTTGATTTCTTCCTGGAACGTGCTTTCTGTGATTCTTCTCTTTGATGCTGATTCCCTGTGGTCCCTCGGCCTAAACAGATTGAGTATCCCTTATTCAAAATGCTCAGGACCAGAAGTGTTTTTGACTCCTAATTTTTTTTTCAGATTTTGGAATATTTGCATTATACTCTTGGTTGAGCATTCAAAATCCAGAAATCTAAAATGTTGCAATGAGCATTTCTTTTGAGCGTTATGTTGGCATCCAGAAAGCTTTGGATTTTGGAGCATTTAGGATTTCAGATTTTCAGATTTGATATGCTCAACTTGTATAGGCTGTATGTTCTGTACCCTCTCTGTCTTGTGGGAGTCTTGTCTTCCAGGAGGGAATTACTTCCCATCTGGTCTCTCCAAAATCTTCCCCTTGACTTCAGGCTTACTAACTTTGTGTTCCCATTTCTGTCTCGTGTGGAGATCTGCATGGCACTAGACCCTTGGAGATCTTTCCTCCCTCTGTTTTCTTTTACACATCCTTGCCTTCCAGATATTAAGACTGGAGATTCCATGCCTTGATGAAGAAGATAGTTTTTTCTACTTAATGTTTTCAACTACCAATTCGATCTCCCTGCTGTTTATGTGGCCCTGGCGATGGGGACTTTCCCTGGAGCCTCTCCATTGCACAGGATGCTGTTCAACACCAGGAGCAGCCCTTTCCAGAGCCTTTGGTCACATGCCGGTGCTTCCCGTTGAGCTTCCCTCTTTCCCCATTTGAAGAATGCAGCCAGCTTCCAGTTCCTTTCAGGCTAGGGACCCAGATAGAACTAAGTGAACATTTTGATGTTCCTTCCAAATAATCAGTTAGTTTTCTCTTTCTACACACATACACACACGCACACACACATTTATAGCATGCACTCTCAGCTTAGCATATTATAAGCATTTCCTCACACTATTAAGAACTGTTCCCAAATAAGATTTGTTATGATTACCTAATATTTCAGTGTGTGAATGAATCATATCTTACTTTCTCACAGTATATCATATTTTAAATATTTACTAATGCTACAGAGGATAATTTTTAAAAACCAGTGGATGTCAGGACTGGTAAGGAAATGCTTACTGCCATAAGTTTAATATCAAAGTTTGTCTTACCTTGACCAACATACCAGCTGCAATGTTCTGATCATTTTTTTTTTCCCTTGTAGTCCACGGCGATACTTCCTCCTGTCGTCTCAGGTGGGTCTGCATCCTGAGTACAGAGAGGACGTAGAAGCCCTCCAGGTCAAACACGGAGAGTCAGTGTTAGTACTCGACAAGTGCACCAACCTCTCAGAGGGCGTCCTTTCTGTTCGTAAGCGCTGCCACAAGCACCAGGTCTTCGATTACCCACAGGTGCTACAGGTGAGTGTCACTCATTACCTCCCACAAGACTCAGTAGAGGTTGCTTTTGTGGGTTAAAATTGAGCCCAACAAACCCGAGTTGTTTTCTATATGCAACTAAAATTACCCTAGGGGAAGAAAACGTAGCATTGCTCTTTACTGGACATGTAGACCTTCAGGTACTTGGAATGTCTGATGCATTGGTGTCTGTAAAGCTGCTTGGCCTATGAGAGTTCATACTCCTTTCAGATATTCATTATACTTTTAAAAACACAAATCTGAGGGATTTGCAGAGAAGCCACATGGACAAAGCAGGCAAATATATCTTGCTTTTACCCCTGTATTCATAAGGCATTCCAGAGAAATTTTCTTCCTTAAGGTGGCAACTTGCATCCCTTGACCATACTGGCCTACAGAGTCACAGTGAACTTTCCCCTGGGAGTGTAGGGGTTTTGGGGTTGTTTTTATCATTTTGGTATTTGGTGTTCTTGCCACTTTTATATTTGACATTCCAAGGGTATGGGGGCTAGGGAATGAGAAATTGAGCTTTGTTCACTTAAATAGTTAAAATGGACACAGGTTAGTTTAAGGAGAAACATCACGGAGCTAGTGTGATTTTTTTTGTTTTTGTTTTTTAATCTCCAGAGAGCTTGTCCATACTGGGATCGTAAAAATACTTTCAAAAAGTGCTGCACTCCCTCTGGAATGTCTGGCTGATAACAGTGGTGATGTGGGCAGAAGTATTTATAGTAACCTTTGTCTAGACGGGAAAAATGGTTATCAGCACGTGCATCCACATCTGGATGCTGACTCTCGAGGTCAGGGGAGCTTTCCACCTGTACCTCTGGGCACCATGATGGCTTCGCTTCCTCTATTCCTGCTGCTTTTCTCATTTATCTCCAGAGGTGCTTGAAATGTCGAATTCTTTTATAGCTTTTTCTCATTTTTCCTTTTCTCTAGCTTTAAAGATTCGTTTTTAAAAAAAATCTTTTCTTCCCCCTTCTTAAGAGGCGAAAACTGGGAGAAGCAGAGTGGTAGGTGGTTAGGATCTCCGTATTTCGGGTCACCTACTGCAGCTGTTTTTTCTGTGGTGCATCTCTCCTTTTCCCAAGTATTCCCCACACGGAGGGAGTTTGAGGGAGTGAATGAGGAAGAAATTTTTCATTAGATATATTTTTTTCTATCTAGAACATATCAGTCTTAAAATCTTTTCAAAGGCATTGAATTCATGAAATGAATATCTTCTATATAAAAAGTACACTGTTAGATGCCCTGGGGGGTAGAAAGATGAAAAGAGATTTGATACCTTCCCTTTAGGGGGTCTTCTAGAGAGCCTGAAATTCCCAGACAAAATAATTCCATTACAAGGTAGGCTGAGGTGGGTACTGTGAGCGATGTCAGACAGTGTGCCATGGTGTGTTTACATAGTATACTAGGGCCTAAAGAGACCCATCTGCAGGAAGTCACATTGTTCACTGTCTAGGGGAAGACTTTGACATTGACTTTGAACATTTCCAGAATGTCAACGGTGTACTGAAGAATAGAAATATTAATATAAAACATTGTAACCATTGAAACTGTTCAAGTTTTACAGGTGTGAGCTGTTGTGTTTTGACATTTTTGTGTCAAGATGCCTCAGTGTTGCTTGGCATCAACTCTTGTAGGAACTTTGTGGTCTATGGGGATCAAAGTCAGTGGATCAACAAAAGTAGTTTGTAATCTCCTACCTCTTTGTGTTCCTGCAGGAGGCTACTTTCTGTGTAGTCCTTCGTGGAGCTCGGCTGGGCCAGGCAGTATTGAGTGATGTGTTACAAGCTGGCTGTGTCCCAGTTGTCATTGCAGACTCCTATATTTTGCCTTTCTCTGAAGTTCTTGACTGGAAGAGGTGGGTAGTACTTTCTAATAAACTCTACACTAGCAGTTCTGTGTGTATGACAAGTAAAAAGTCCCTGAGGTTATTGTAATGTATACCCTGGTTCAAGAACTACTACTTCAGATAGTTTTTCTCTATTTTCCATCAGGAGAGTTAGTACATTGGCCTAGAGCAGTTCACAAACTGAGGCCAGCTTGCAGGCTGGCTGTTTTTGTAAGTCAAGTTTTATTGAAACACAACATGTCCCTTCCTTTATGTATAGTCTGGCTGTTGTTGTGTCATATTGGCAGAGTTAAGTAATTGCAACAGAAATCAGATGACATACAAGGCTTAAAATGTCACTATCTGGCCTTTTGTCACGGGGGTCTCCAACTGCTGGGCTGTGGCCTGTTTGGAGCTTGGCTGCACAGCAGAAGGTGTCTAGCGGGCTAGCGAGCATTACCACCTGAGCTTCGCCTCCTGTCAGATCAGTGGTGGCATTAAATTATCATAGGAGCCTGGACCCTACTGTGAACTGTGCATACGAGGGATCTAGGTTGCGCATTCCTTATGAGACTCTAACTAATGCCTGATGAGGTGGAACAGTTTCATCCCCAAACCATTCCCTGCCAAACCCAGTCTGTGGAAAAATTGTCTCCATGAAACTGGTCCCTGGTGCCAAGAAGGTTGGGGACTGCTGCTTTTCAGAAAATGGTTACCAACTGCTAGCCTAGGCCAGTGTTCAACTCTGACTGCAGAGTAGACTCACCTGGAGAGCTTAAAAAAAAATGCCTTGCCTAATTCTTGGGGATTCTGAACGTTAAAGCTCCCAGGCAATTCTGATTTGTAGTCACAGTTGAGAACCAGGGGTTTAGAGTCTCTGTCAAATATAGCTGGTGGTGGAGAAGCCTCCATGTAGATGAAAGCGTAGAGGCAGTCCCAGTGTACAGACGGACCCAATTCCATTCTACTGGGTGTTTGCAATTTATATTGTAATAAACAGAATAGCCCTCTATTCTCATGCTTTGTTTTCCCAATATTTTGAAGGTTGAAGGTTGTTGAAAATTAATTCCATTCATATCTATCTCTCAGTCCTTTCCTTGCCTCAAATGCTTACTGGTTTTTTTTCCTCTCTCAACTTTTTTGATATTTCTGTCTAAATCTGATCACCACAGATATTTGAACAACTTGAATAGCTCTAATTCATTCATCCATCTATCCATCCACCCACCCACCCATCCATCCATCTATCCATCCACCCATCCATCCATCCACCCATCTACCCACCCATCCACCCATCTACCCACCCATCCATCCATCCATCCCTTCATCTCATATTGATTGGCAAGCCTCCTGTGAATAACATAGAGCCTCTCTTTTCAAGGAGGCTAGAATCTAGTGAGAGAAGACAAACCGATGATAATGTTTTGTGGTAAATGTCATAACAGATGTATGCACAGCCTAGTTGGCAGAAGTGAGGTTTAGAGTTTAATCATTAATTTATACAAATGTAATTACAAACTGCTAAATGTCATGAAGGAAAAGTGATTGTCGAGTCCTCTCTTTCTCTTACCCACCACATCTAATCTGTTAGCAAACCCTGTCGGCTCTACCCTCTCAGCCCTGTCATCCAGTCCTCCCTCATTGCATCCCTTGCCTGGCTTTCGCAGTGTTCTCCAGCTATCTCTCTGCTCCTGTTCTTGCCTTCCTATAGTTTATTCTCACCCTTTCGATGGAATGGTCCTGTTGGAACATGATCAGATTATATCATGCTTTTGCCCAAAACCCTCTAATGGCTTTCCATCTCAGAAAAAAGGCACACGTCTTTCAGTGGCCTACAAGGTCCTGTACTCTTTGCTGTGACTCCGTTCTTCTTTCCTGGTGCTATTCTCTGTCTTAGTTACTTTTCTCCAGCCACAGTGGCCTTTTTGCTGTTCCTGGCACTTGCCCACCATGCTACTTCTTCAGGGCTGTTTGCTTGTTTAGAGTTTTCCTGGAATGCTTTTCCTGCAGGCATTCTGCTGGTCTGCTTACTCTCTTGTCTGCCTTGACTAATTAATTCACTGTTGGGTGTGCACATAATAGGGCTTCCATAAATATATGCCAGATAAGTGAATAGATTTGAATAGATAGCCAAAGGAGAAAAGTACTTGTTAATTTAGAAGGGAATAAAGAAGCATGTACCAGGTGGGTGGGATTTTACATGCAAAGACTCTGTGGTAGGGCAGAGCATGGTGTGTTCAAGTGACTGGAAGAACACCCGTGTGGCTAGAACGCACTAGTGGAGTGAGGCAGGATGAAAGGAGTAGGGAGTGCGAGGTAGAAAACAATGGAGCTGGTAAAGAACTCCTTTCAGAAGCCAATGAGAAAGGGAGGAGAAAGAGAATCCTTACTGGAAGGGGTGTGGGGCTGAAGGAGGTTTGGAGTCTTCTTTCTGCTTGTGAGAATGAAACAAGACTGTGTGTAGAAATGCTTTCTGTGAAGGGCTGTGTGTATGTAAACTGTTTTGCTGTTGTCTCCAGAGCATCTGTGGTTGTACCAGAAGAAAAGATGTCAGATGTGTACAGTATTTTGCAGAGCATCCCCCAAAGACAGATTGAAGAAATGCAGAGACAGGTAAGAGGCCAAGTCCAAGCAGCCCTCCTGGGGAGGTGACGTGGGTGGTACTGAAATGGTGGCCTTGGCTGTTTGGATACAGAGGGACAGGCACTCAGTGCCTGAGCGGGGCTCACTTCCCCCACTAGATCAACTAACCAAACTTAAAACGATAGGAAATTCATGTTAGGTGAGTTGTGTCAAATAAGGTTTGAAATAATAACTCTCAGAGAATTCTGCAGAGGTAAGCCTACTACAGTTTTAAGGTCTTACTATAGCAGATGCAAAGCTGAAGCTCTTTGGAGGTTTGTAGTTACAGCAGGTGATAGTCGTAGTGACTAAGACAGCCATGGAGGCCAGACCATTTCAGGGCAATACTTCTGTGTAGTTATTGACCATGAGACTATTGCTGCAGAAACTAGCCTAGGTTCCCAGTTCAGACAACCTTTGTAATTAGGGGATCCTCCCTTCTCTTCTGGAACATTTGCCATTTTCCTGCCTCTCTTTCCAAATTTCTCTTCTGCCTTCTGACGCCCCCATTCCCTGGGCTGCTCTCTGATTGTTTAACACTCCGCTGGGTGTCCCGCTTAGTCCTGCTTTCCTTTCTTTCTCCCAAAGGACAGTCAACTGGGTTTAAATACCAAGCAAGGTGAAAAAGTTGAGAAGACTATGCCCAAAAATTTTAATGGACTTTTAAAAAGGTTTAATCTTTGTCAAAGATCACCTGTGTGGGAGATGAGCAGGCAAAGAGGCTTGGCGGATTCTCCGCATTAAGTGGGTAACTGTCCAATGCAACCCCCTGCTGTCAGTTCACATGCCCACCCTCAGGCAGAGAGCCTGCATTTGGCCTTGTCCTAGGAATCAGCCATAGGCTTCTGTCTGGATGCAGGCAGTGCAGCTGTCTGGTTGTGTGGGAAGGGGATCTGGAGTTCTAACTGTTTTTTAAAGTTTCACTCTGCCCTCATGCTTGAACCTCACTCTTTTGGGCAGTGTGACTCAAGTTTTTCTCAGCTGATTTAGGATGCAGCTCCCTTGAGCCTATAGCATCAGTTAGCACTTCTTCCTCTACTTTTCAGCTTCCACATGTTGATGCTGTTATCATGTCTCTCATTCTCTTTATCTTAGGGTATGCATACCTTAATTTAGGAAATTCCCCTTGTTATTTTAGGGTTTTAGGAGAGAGTGAAATTAGTGGATGTGTGCAGCCCACCCTCTTTATTATGACAGGGAACTTCTTATCAGACACAGATCAAGTCTGTAGGTTCTTGCCTCAGATTGCTTGGCTTGGGTGTCAGCTCTGTGGGTTGCAAACTCTGTGCCCTTCATTAAGGATCTGCCTTCTCTGAGCTCAGTGACCTCATCTGTACAACATTTTGGTATCCTGGTTTGACTAGAAGTCACAGGTCAGTTTTAGCTTCCCTGCAGTTTCTTTATAACATCCTCATGTTTGTTTTAAGTTTCTGGGTTTCCCGGTTGTTATTTAACTGCTGATTTCATCTGAGTTTTTGTGACTCAGAAAATCAGTCCAGAGATCTCTAGATTTTTTTATCTAAACCTGTGGTTCCTAAAACTTGTATAGAAGAAAATGCTCCTTGAGGAGTCATAGTGTTTGTGTACTTTGTGTTACCTTTTTTTCCTCCCTGAGACAGAGTCTCACTCTGTAGCCCAGGCTGGAGTGCAGTGTCATGATCTCGGCTCACTGCAACCTCTGCCACCAGAATTCGAGCAATTCTCCTGCCTCAGCCTCCCAAGTAGCTGGCATGCGCCACCATGCCTAGCTAATTTTTGTACGTTTAGTAGAGACAGGATTTCACCATTTTGGCCAGGCTGGTAGAACTCCTGACTCCAAGTGATCCGCCCACCTTGGCCTCCCAAAATGCTGGGATTATAGGCGTGAGCTACCATACCTGGCCTGCTTTGTGTTACTTTTCATGGCAACTTGATGTACTAATAAAACTAAATATAGAATTATATGCTAAAGCAGAGACCATTTTATACTAGAATCTAGTCTACAAAGGTTAAGAAAACACTGGGGTTAAATGAGCAAATTCTATCTAGTCACCTTCTCCACCCCCCGCCCTGACGCTGGGAAAGAGAATCATTTGGTTTTTGGAGCAGCGTCTACTGCCAGCTCATGGACTACTGTTGCCTGTGGGAGTGTGGTGTGGGAACTGCAGGTCTGAGATAAGCTTGGTCATTTTCAGTGGTGGCTCAGAATCGTGGAACAGTTGAGATGGAATGAATGCCAGTCATTTAAAACAGTGTACTTTTGAGTTATTTGGGTTTGAAGAGACACACAGTCAAAAGACTTGGGTTTGATCCCTGCCTCTGTCCCTTTGAATTGCATGACCATGATAGGTCCCCAGAGCTCCCTAGGCTTCCATTTCCTCATTTATGAAATGAAGGGGTTGGCTAAATCATCTGTCATGTTCCATGTGGCTGTTAAAAAACTCTATGAAATGCTTGTCTCTACCAAGAATATTACTCTCCTTGACGACATTAATAATTGAGTGGTCATCTCCTCTCCCTTTGAACAGCTCTAGTCACAAGAGTCACTTGCCTCCCCTGGTGGTGAGCAGTCCACTATGCCAGCTTACAAAAGAAAGGTGGACTTGGCACTTTCCTGGCCCCCTTTCTAACTCTTTTCTGCTTTCTGATGGCCTCTTTCCCTGTGCTGCTTTCAGACTGTCTAAAGCTCTCTGCTGCGGCGCCTCACGAGTCCCACTCCCCTTTCTCTGAGTGATTCATATTCCCAAAATGACCGCTTTTCTTCTCCCAGCCTCAGATTTCTAGAGTGGGCTGATCTCAAGTAGGTGAGAGATTATCTGGTTAAAGTGATTTCCAGCTAGGTATAAAGGATGACTAGGTTTGTTCAACTACTACTGGATTCCAGTAGCACCCCTCCCTCAGTTGTGATTACCAAAAATGCCTCTAGACATTGCTTACCAATTGTCCCCTTTGGGATTGGGGGTGGAGAAAAGGCAAAATTGCTTGGGTTGAGAACCACTGTTCTCTATAGATAGTTAAATGTCTCATCTCTCTAAAATTAGAGTTCTTTGGTTCTATAACAAAATATACTCTTTCGAAGATATTCTTGTCATTTTGCTTTCTGTTTACTTTCTATCGATTTAACCTGACCTTGGCAGGGGTAACTAAAAAAAAAAAAAAAAGGTAAAACACCTGATTCTGCAAAGTTCCTATACCTTAGTGAATTCTCTTTAGGAAGGTCAGATGTGGGTCTTTTTGCAAGACAGGCATCCACTTTTAGGGGAAAGCCTATTGTATCAGTAGCTGATACCTTAGAGCCTCTAGATGATGTGTCAAAATGAACTGAGAGTGAGGAACAGAGGGTCTGATTTGCTTGCCAAGAAACTCCCAACTAGCTTAATGGAGCTGCATTGGACAGTTATAGCCAGCAGAGGTCTCCATCCACTTTTAATTAACTCGTTTTCCCTCTGAGTATTTAAATCTTTCCAAGAAATCCTAAATGCCGTGAGCCACTCTGATGCTTCACACTGACATCTTCCTGATAGCTGCTCTCTAGAGACCTTTCTTTCAGATGAAGAAGAAATAGTGCTTGGCACAGGATTTAAGTCTCCCTAGATGTGATAGAGCTGAAGTTTCTGATTTGGCCCCAGAAATGTGGGGGTAGGAGCTTGGTGAGGAAGGTATTGGAGCAACATTTTGCAGTTTAGAATTTAGAATCAGAAAGGCTACAATCTGACAGATGTCTGCAGTGGTGAAAGTCCTTGTTGTGACTTGGGAATTTGTGTGTACCAAGGGAGAAAGTCATTCTGCCTGACAAGGAAAGGAAATTAAATTCCCCTCTCGACCTTAGATGTGATAGCAGCAGCCAAAAAGTTAACTATAAGGCTAGAGCCTAATGTAAGTAACAGCTATCGTTAGACTAAGACTTTTGAGGAAAAGTACAACCTGTGTCTCTGGTATCTATTCCTGAGGCCACCAATGAGTGGTGCTGCCACACGTGGCATTGGACAGGCTACCGGGGGCTTATGGGGCTTTTAGTGGGAAAGTTAAAAAACAGCTTCTTAAGTTAGTAGAAGATAGTAGTTGTAACAATATAAAGCTGACTTATCAGTTGGCCTTTTATTGTTCTATGAGCTAACAATTAACTAGTTAGTTAATTTATTGAATCCCTAATTTTTTTTTCAGGGAGAGATTATAGGAGATAATAAAAAATCTGTGATCCCCATTCACAAATGGCTAATAGTAGTGTTGGGGATACATAGGTATAAGCATAAAGAAAGTTGAGAAGAGGATGTCAGTTTTTCTGTGTACATTAGGGGTCTGAAATAGAAGAGAGAAAATTGGGGCTAAAGTTGTCAGGATGGATTTATTGGAGCTGTACAATTTGAGGTAGGCCTTGAGATGGGAGTTCCATCAGCTGTCTGTCTTATGTTGGAAGGCAGGCAAAAGTATGCAGCTAAATATTTTTCTGTAGTCAAATGAAACATTCATATCCCCAGTCTCCCCTGAATCACAAAGAAAAAGTACACAAGCTAGGGTCTTAGAAGGCTGGATAGACACTAGACTGTATCGTTAGAAATGTTTGTGTGGATAGGGAGGAAGGTGTAAATGGATCCCCAGTTTATCTGTTGAGTAGAATTTCCAAACATTCTTTTATTGGTCAGTGGCTCCACCAGCAGTGACCTCTAACCTCAGCCACACTAGGAGGTGGAAGTCAGGAGCCTGCCTTGCCTTTGAACCCTTCTTTGTACTCAATTGACTAGAAGCCTTTGAGGTGGCAGAAACATTCAGCATCTTCTTTTCTCTCTAGCCTTTAATACTTGGGATACATTCAAATACCAGTTTCTTTTCAGCTTGTTACATGGATCCATCTCAATGTGCCTTCATATTTTTCTATTAAGCATAACCAAATATTGGTGCTGCAGAGAAGCACTGAAGATGTAGTGGGGCTGATTAGGAAAAAGACAAAACACTCTCATTTAAGAAAATAAAACCTCTGGACTATAGTTGGGCCTAGTTCTGATCAAGAAGAG